GAAGTGGCTGCAGCATTTTACATTCCCACTAGCAATGTATGACAGCTCCAGCTGCCCTGTATCCTCATCAACTTTTGTTATAGTCAGTGTTTTTTTATTTCATCCATTCTAATACGTGTGTAGTGTTATTTCATCATGATTTTAATTTGCATTTCCCTAACAAGGCAAATTAGGAAATTTGCATTTTTTCCTCCTTTGATCTATGATCCATTTTGAATATTTCTTTTATATGAGATGTGAGAGCTGGGCATGGTGGCTCACACCTGTAATCCTAGCCCTTTAGGAGGCCAAGCCAAGCAATTGCTTGAACCCAAAAATTCAAGACCAGCCTGGGCAGCATGGCAAAACCTTCTCTCTACAAAAAAAGAATACAAAAATTGGCCGGGCATGGTGGCACATGCCTGTAGTCGCAGCTACTTGGCAGGCTGAAGTAGAAGGATCACTTGAGCCTGGGAGGTTGAGGCTGCAGTGAGCCATGATCATGCCACTGCACTCCAGGTTGGGCCAGAGTGAGAACCTGTCTCAAAAAAAAAAAAAGATGTAAGGTTTAGAAAAACGTTTACTTTTTTTGCACATGGATATCCAATTGTTCTAACACCATGTATTGAAAAGACTACCCTTTCTTTACTGAATTGCATTTGCACATTTCATTTATAAAATATCAGCTGAGACTTATGCTTCCAGGGAAATGGAGTAGACATAGTTTTCCCTATTCCTGTCTCCAAGTACTAAAAACTGAAAACTTGGAACATTATATATAAAACCAACATAAGAACACTCTGAAAGTTGTAGAGAACAGACCAGTTAAGAACCTCAAGATGCAAGGAATGACACAAGAGTGAGTACTTAGGCTTTCTTCTTGTTTCATATATTCCAGATTTGAAGCTTAAGAGGCCAGGAACTTGGAAATGCTAAAGGGCACAGACAAAAAAAAGGCCCAGCAAAAACAAGCTCTCTCTGCCTGAAGGACCAGGAAAGGAAAAGCTGAGCAAGGCAGAAAACTTTGCGATGATAACCACTCAACTAGCCAAATACCACAGAAAAAACTGGGTCCCCAACCACATTAAAAGCAGTAAGGGCTGAGTAGGAAGTCCAGGCTTTCACACTCATGAGGCTATGCTGATATGCTCCAACATCCCCAATGGGGTGATGCCAGAAAAGTCAAGTTAGAGAGCCCAGACTTTCACCCCACTAGCCAGTAATGAACCTTCTTTTTCCCCTTCATTTTCCTACTCTTCCCACTGACTCAGTGTTACTGGAGACCACATGAGAAGCCAGAGGGCAGGAAAAACAAACAAACAAACAAACAAAAACAGAAAAACACAGACCAAAAATAACAAACAGAAAAAAACTAAAATAAAATGGAAAACTTAAGTACTAATATTAACTACATTAAATGTAAATGATCTAAATATATGCATACCAATAAAAGACAGATATTGGCAGAGTAGATTAAAAAACATGACCAAGCTGTATGTTATCTATGAAAAACTTATTTCAAATATAATAATATAGGCAGGTTGAAAGTAAAAGGATGGAAAAAGATATAATAAAATGAAAGCAGGAATATTTACATTATTATCAGATAGAGTAGACTTAAGAACAAAGAAAATTACCAGACCAAAAAAGGGCATTATATAATGATAAACTATCCATTACCAAGAAGACTTAGCAGTCCTAAATATGTATGCACCAAATAATAAAGTTGCAAAATATGTGAAGTAAAAACTGAGAATCTAAAAAATAAATAGAAAAACATACCATTGAAGACCTCAACACACCTCTTTTAACAACTGATAGAATAAATAGACAGAAAATCATCAAGGTTACAAAAGAACTCAGCATCAACCAAGGGAATCTAATAGACATTTGAACAGCAGAATATATATTCTTTTCAAGTGCCCATGAAACCTATACCAAGATAGGCCACGTCATGGGCCATCAAAAAAACCTCAACAAATGTAAAGGAATTGAAATCACACAGAGTGTGTTCTCTGACCGCAATGAAATCATGCTAGAGGTCAATAAAGAACAATAACAGGAAAATCTCAACAATTAGAAAGTAAACAACATATTTTTATACAATCCATAGGTCAAAGAGAAAATTTCAAGGAAAATAAAAAAAAATACGAGAGAGAGATCCAAGATGGCTGATTAGGAGCAGCTCAGGATTGCAGCTCCCAGGGAAAGTGCAGAGAGTGAGGGGACGCCGCATTTTCAGACGGATTTTTGTTGCCCACAGATCAGAAGTGTCCCAGGAGGAGGAGCCCCACGGGTCGCCAGTACAACTCTTTTGGCCAGAGTGGCTGTTTTGCTGCCCCCGGTGCAGCAGTTCTCAGTGCAGAATATACAGGACTGGGTGCCCTTTTGGTTGGCATTTGGAGCTCCAGGAAGACAGTCACCCATTTAGCTGAATGAAGACGGGACTGAAACAGGGAGGCAGGCAGGAAGATTACCAGCCAAAAAGCACCACGAATTTCAATGCCACTGTTTCAGCCAGTGCAGTGGGCCACCACACAGGAAATCACAGAGATACCAGTGCCTTTTCAAGAGGCGACTGGAACATCTAGGAGAGAACTGACTGTTCAACTAAAAAAAAAAAAAAAAGGCTCTGAGGCAGGAATCCAGGTGATGAGGTTCGGCTGGTCCCACAACACAAAAAAACAGCAATTGGAAACGCTGTGGGTTGAGAGTTTCACAGCAAGCACAGCTGAATCCGGGAAGGTCCAGCTCTGTGGGGGAGGAGCGTCTGCTGAAGGAAAACTAAGAGACATAAATAACATCATCACCAACAAACTGGACATCCACTCAGAGACCCAATCTGAAAGTCAGCAACTACAAAGATGACAGGTGGATAAATCCACAAAGAAGGGAAGAAAACAGCGCAAAAAGGATGAAAATACCTGAAATCAGAATGCCTCTCCTTCTACAAGGGATCACAACTTCTCATCACCAAGGGAACAAGCCTGATGGAGAACGAGTGTGATGAATTGACAGAATCAGGCTTCAGAAGGTGGATAATAATAAACTTCTGTGAGCTAAAAGAACTTATTCTAACCCAATGCAAAGAAACTAAGAACGTTGAAAAAAGATTTGACGAAATGCTAACGAGAATAGACAATTTAGAGAGGAATATAAGTGAATTGATGGAGCTGAAAAACACAACACGAGAACTTCACGAAGTATGCACAAGTTTTAACAGTCGAATTGACCAAGCAGAAGAAAGGATATCAGAGGTTAAAGGTCAACTCAATGAAATAAAACGAGAAGACAAAATTAGAGAAAAAAGGGTAAAAAGGAATGAGCCAAGTCTCCAAGAAATATGGGACTAGGTGAAAAAACCTAATCTACGTTTGATAGGTGTACCTGAATGTGACGAATTGAATGAATCCAAGTTGGAAAATACTCTTCAGGATATTATGCCGGAAAACTTTCCCAACCTAGCAAGGCAGCCCAATATTCAACTCTAGGTAATACAGAGAACATCACAAAGACACTCCTCAAGAAGAGCAACCCCAAGGCACATAATTGTCAGATTTACCAGGGTTAAAATGAAAATGCTAAGGGCAGCCAGACAGAAGGGTCAGGTTACCCACACAAGGAAGCCCATCAGATTCACAGCAGATCTGTCAGCAGAAGCCCTCCAAGCCAGAAGAGAGTGGGGGCCAATATTCAACATCCTTAAAGAAAAGAACTTTCAACCAAGAATTTCATATGCAGCCAAACTAAGCTTCATAAGCGAAGGAAAAAGAAAATCTTTTGTGAACAAGCAAGTACTCAGAGATTTCATCACCACCAGGCCTGCTTTACAAGAGCTTCTGAAAGAAGCACTACACATAGAAAGGAACAACCAGTATCAGCCATTCTAAAAACATACCAAAAGGTAAAGAGCATCAACATAATGAAGAATCTGCATGAACTAATGGGCAAAACAGCCAGCTAGCATTAAATGGTAGTATTAAACTCACACATATCAATATTAACCTAAATTTATATGGACTAAATGCCCCAATCAAAAGACACAGATTGGCAAATTGAATAAAAAGCCAAAATCCATCGGTATGCTGTATCCAGACCCATCTCACATGCAAGGACACATAAAGGCTCAAAATAAGGGAATGGAGGAAGATTTACCAACCAAATGGAAAGTAAAAAAAAAAAAAAAAGCAAGAGCTGCAATTATCGTCTCTGATAAAATAGACTTTAAAGCAACAAAGATCAAAAGAGACAAAGAAGGACATTACATAACGGTAAAAGGATCAATGATGCAACAAGAAGAGCTAACGATCCTAAATATATACGCACCCAATACAGGAGCACCCAGATACATAAGGCAAGTTCTTAATGACTTACAAAGAGGCTTAGACTCCCACACAATAATAGTGGGAGACTTTAACACCCCATTGTCAATATTAGACAGATCAACCAGACAGAAAATTAACAAGGATATCCACGACTTGAACTCAGACCTGGAACAAGCAAATCTAATAGATATTTACAGAAATCTCCACCCCAAATCCACAGAATATATATTTTTCTCAGTACCACATCACACCTACTCTATAAGTGACCACATAAGTGGAAGTAAATCACTCCTCAGCAAATGCACAGCATTTCACAGGTTTAAGTGAAATATTGGTTGGCTGCTTGTCTGTTATCTTCCTCCCTTATTCCTTCCTGTCTCCATTGTCAAACACAACTATTGGCATAAAAGAGGTTTTTAATATCCATTTTTAGAATGCATTCTAGCCTGGGCAATAGAGCAAGACTCCCGTTCTCTCTCCTTTCTTTTCCTCTTTCTTTCTCTCTTTCTTTCTTTTCTTTCTTTATTTCCTTTCTTCTTTCTAAAAAAAAAAAAAAGAGAGAGAGAGAGAAAATCCTCCCCAAAAAAAAAAAATAAAGAAAAAAAAACTTAAAAAAAAAAAAAAAAAAAAAAAAAAATATTAAAAAAAAAAAAAAAAAAGAAAGAAACAGATAAGGCTCTGATCGCCACCACCACCATGGGCAACGCCTCTGCCAAGAAGGACACTCAGCAGGAGGACGTGAAAGACTTCCTAGCCAGAGCCAAAGAAGATTTCCTCTACAGATGGGAACACCCCGTTCAGAGCACCTCTAGCTCAGATCAGTTTGAACTGCTCAAGACGCTGGGCACCAGCTCCTTCGGGCGGGTGGTGCGGGTGAGGTACCGGGAGAGCGGCGGCCACAACACCGTGAAGATACTCAACAAACAGAAGGTGGTGAAGCTGAAGCAGGTCGAGCACGTCCTGAACGGGAAGCGCATCCTGCAGGCGATCAACTTTCCGTTCCTCGTCAAGCTCCAGTTCTCCTTCAGGAACAACTCCAACCTGTACCTGGTGATGGAGTTCGTGTCGGGTGGGGGGATGTTCTCCCACCTATGGTGCATCGGAAGGTTCAGAGAGCCCCATGCCTGTTTCTATGCCGCCAGATCATCCTGGCCTTCCAGTACCTGCACTCGCTCGACCTCATCCACCGCGACCTGAAGACCGAGAACCTCCTCATCGACCTGCAGGGCTACCTGAAGGTAAGGGACTTCGGTTTCGCCAAGCATATGAGGGGCCGCACTTGGACCCTGTGCGGGACCCCCGAGGACCTGGCCCCCGAGATAATCCTGAGCAAAGGCTACAACAAGGCCATGGACTGGTGGGCCCTGGGGGTGCTCACCTATGAGATGGCCGTGGGTTTCCTGCCCTTCTACGCTGACCAGCCAATCCAGATCTACGAGAAGATCGTCTCTGGGAAGGTGCGGTTCCCCTCCCACGTCAACTCTGACCTCAAAGAGCTGCTGCGGAGCCTGCTGCAGGTGGACCTCACCAAGCACTTCAAGAACCTTCGGAATGGGGTCAGCGACATCAAGAACCACAAGTGGTTCGCCACAACCAAGTGGATCGCCATCTATGAGAAGAAGGTGGAAGCTCTCTTCATCCCAAAGTTCACAGGTCCTGGGGATGCCAGGAACTTTGACAACTATGAGGAGGAAGAGATCCGGATCTCCATCAACGAGAAGTGTGCCAACGAGTTTTCTGAGTTTTAGGTGTGTGCTTGTGCCCCTGTGGCTTTTCTTTACTTTCTTTTTTTTTTTTTTTCTCTTTGGTGGGTGGGTGGCAGGGTTGGACTGAACAGGCAGAGGGACCCAAAGTTCCTTGCATCTAGTTTCACCCCCCACCCGACCCTCCGGGGTTGGGTAGAAGGAAGCCCAGATTTTTAAAGGGACAGGAACACCAGCTGCTCCCTCACCCCCTATGCCTTCCTGGACCCTCTGAGCTTCTCCTTTCCTCCTCCCGCAGAGTCCCCCTTGCCCCAGCCCACTTCTGCCTGTTTTAAACGAGTTTCTCAGCTCTATTTAGGCCAGGTCTTGCTGGTGTATCCATGAACAGGGTGTAGAAAGAGGGGCTCAAACTTAACTCCAGCACGGAACAGGCACCACTTGCTAAGACAGGATGAATGAAAAGCACACCTGCCTTTCAGAGTAATCCTGCCTGGGAAGGAGAGGGGTTTAGTGCCATGTTTAGTGGGCTGCTTGCTAAAATTAAAAATTAAAAAAATAGAGTTCCAGTGCGGCAGAGAAAGCAGAGAGACGCAGAGCACTGCGAGCTCCTCCTGGGCCCTCCAGGCCCTCCGGCCCCGGGCTGGTGGGTGAGCTGGGGGGCCCCGGGACAGGCCGTGCTCTCTGCCCTTCAGACACCAGAGGCCTCCGCTGTGGCTTCGCATTGGCCTGGCCAGGCTCAGGCCTTGAAGCCATGGTGAACCTCTCTACCCCACCCCACTTCAGTGATTGATGGCGGCGGCGGCTTCTCCCAGCCAGTACCCAAGCCTGGACCCTGCTGGCCACTGGGTCTCCTGGCCCAAGTGTGCTAGGCCTTGACAAAGCCCCAGCTGAGCTTCCTGGATGCAATGCCTTTGGGTGGCGGCGGGAGGGACGGACCAGGAAACATGGCGGCCGTTCAAATGCTGCGCAGCAGAGACCCTTCGGTGATAGAGGGCCTGGGAAGGCGGCCTAAGGAGGCAGGCAGGCTCGGCTGCCTCTTTAGGCCACAGAGCCGTGCAGATCCGGGTCCCCAGTGACCACTCTGTCCCCATTGGGCGAGACCTACCTAGTCCTGACGACAACGAACAAAGGCCTTAACAGGCCTGGGAGGTGAGCGAAGTTCCGAACGACGATGGGTGGAATGATTAGCGGCCATCGGGCTGTTAGTCTTCATTCTACCAGACCTTGCTGTCAGAAGAGAGAAACGGTAGAATGACAGGCCACGTTTGGCCCGTTGGAAATGCCCACCACCCTCTGGGAAGATTTACTGGCCTTTATGGAAGGCCTGTGTATATAATATGAAAAAGCTGCTCTCAACTGCACCCCAACCTTTTAAAAAAAATACATTTAAGTAAACCAAAATGAAAACACAATCTGAGCTATTAGATCACGGGGGGAAAAGGAGAAAGCACAATGTATCAAAATCTGTGGGATACAGCTAAAACTGTTGACAGAAAAAGTTATAATACCAAATGCATATAGTAGAAAAGATTAAAAGTCTCAAATTGGGAATATAAGCATTCTTTTCAAGAGTATGAAAAAGAAGAGCAAAATAAATCCAAAGCAAATACAAGAAAGAAAATAGTAAATAGAAATGAAAGAAATTGAAAACAGTAAAACAAGAGTTCCTAGGTGGCCACTGATGAAGGATAGCAACATCGTCTGGCTATCGTTCTGTCTTCTTAGCTGTCCCGTGTCTCTCCAGGACACTGGAGGCTTTCTTTTTTTGTTCTTTTCTTTTAAAACAGAGTCTTGCTCCATCACTCAGGCACCAAGAGTACAGTGGTGTAATCTCGGCTCACTGCACTCTCCAGGACACCGGAGAGTTTCTAGTGGGCATTTCTAGCTAGTGCAACTGAAGTGGATGATATGAGGATTAGACTACCTGCCCATGCAACTTGCTTGTGCTCTCTGGTCCTGCTCGGTCTTCAGTCCCAGATACACTATTTCCATCTTATGATAGTCTATTGCTACTACTTCAATTTTTTTTACTTGATGAGTCTGATAGAATCCTATTTATAAAGTGAAATTCCAGATGCATAGTCACTTGATGCCTCAAGGCCAAGCAATTTGTCTCTACCAGAACCCAGAATCATGTCAGAAGCTGTTTTTCAAAAGGCCTTTAATTCTATGCTGTGGACAACATGACCCTGATCCATAATCCCATTACAGGGCCCATGTTAGGCTTTCCATAAGCAACATATTACATCTTTTCTCACTACTGGCATCTCTAATGTCATAAGGTCTTCCAGATCATATGACTCCAGCAGCAGGACTGCTTACACTGCAGCCTGGACCTACTGCAAAGCCCTTTCCTGCACCGGGTCTCACTCAAAGTTAACAACCTGCTGTGTCGCCTAATATATGGGCCAGATCAATATTCCTAGATGAGCAATATATTACTTCTAGAAACATAAAGAGGCCCGTCATGCATGGGCTTCAGTTTTGTGGTGAGGGATTCAAGATGTGAGCAGTGTTTTTCACTCTGGAGGGGATATCCTAGCATACCCACGGTTATTGGACCCCTAAAAATATCAATGAAGCTTTCTACCATTGGACTCCCAAAATCTTCACTGAAAATCCAGGCAGGTCCCTGAATCTTTGTAGCATTTATCTTCCACCCTTTGGAAGACACACGTCTTTACCAAGGCCTCCATCATACGAACCACCTGTTGCTTGTTCTGCTGATCAGCATAAAGTTATTAATGTAATGATCAGTGTGAAATTCAGTGGAATAAGCAATCCAGATCTTTTTGGACTACATTATTATGAAAGGTAAGAGACTTAACATAGCCTTGAGGTAATACCTTAATACTGTCTGCCCCATATGCATACAACTGTTTTAACCTTTTCTGATTTAAATGGAAAAGAACGCATTTGCCACATCAATTGCTGTATGTCATGCTCCTGTTCTACCAATGGTACCCGTCTAGCAAAGCAGCTGTGTTCAGGGCTACTATTCAATTAAATCTCTACTCATCTACAGTCCTTTGGGTCTTTAATGGTGGTATTAATTTGTCACCCTCCTCCCATTCCACAGAATGTGATTTTATTATCTTCACTAGGAGAAAGGAGGCAGTTTTTGACATTTCTACTTGTCCTTCCTCACTGTGATAATTCTTACTCCACCAGACAAGCATCTAATGTTACTTGATATACCTGGCAGTTACTCCAACTGCCAGGTATATCAATTCCAATTATATAGCCAGGGCCCGGGGAGGTCGCTATTCGGTAGGTTTCTAAACCCATTGGGACCATTGTGAGCCAGACTTTAACCAGGATTCCATCTATTACCTGGTCCCTAGAAGCTCCCGCTCTAATAGGGGTGCCATTAAGATGCTTTGGTGCTCTAGGTATTGATGTGAACTTAGATTCTGTGTGCAATAATCCTGGATGTTCTATTTCACAAGTAACCCAAGAAAGTGCCGCCAAGTCTAGAAATCATTGATGATCTGTAGTCTTGTATTTTAACCCTTTGGATCAAGCACCTCAAAATCCAATATCTGATCAGACTGGTCAACTCCCTTGCTTATGGCAATATATGCTAATTCTTAGAGCTCTTTCTGTGTATTCTCTCTCTCCTTCCTTATCTGACCCAACACTTTTCCAGTTGGGTTACACTGTGATTTAACCTTAGCTGATACCTATTGACCAAGAAAGGGGGTAAGGAAAGCTGCTGAGGAGGTCAACTGATGCCTTGAAGGTGGGGGGCTTCTACAGTACCTTCCAACACAGAAGAGTGGGCCACCTCTGCAAACTCCAAGGACCCATGGGAATCCATGCAGAAATTGTTTACTACACATTCCAGAGTCTCAAGGTTTTCCTAACCTAGGCCCTGACTTTGGCATACCAGATGTGCCTTGACTGACCTTTTATACATCTCTGGAGCTCTGCACCTCTATAAGATCTTCTATTTGCCATTCCTTAGTTCTCATCTCTGCAGCAGATAAGAGGCTTTACTACCAAAGAGACCCTCTGGTTCTCACATTTATTTTGTAACTGCTTGCTAATGGACATCTGTTTTTTCAGGGTGTTAATACAACTTAGTAGTAGCTAGTCCAGTGAACTATCTTTGCAGGCATTATTTGCCCATATTTTTCAAATGCCTGCATAATCACACCTGCAAAAGCACTGCCCTCAATTGGGAAGTGTTTCCAAATCACGTCAAATGAAATCGTTAAGAATAGGACTACTGCCATGTGCCAGGTACCACACATAACACACAGGAAGGTGTCTCTTTGACAGCTGGATAGTGAATATGCCAAGCCAGTGTCCTATCTTACTGCCCATTATCCCAGACCATTCCTTCCATTGCTTGTATTAGTTTGGATCCTCCAGAAGTCAAAACCAAGACAGAATTAGATGCACAAGGTATTTATAGGGAAAACGTCTGTGAGGAAAACTGAGAGGGAGACAGGGGAGCCTGGGAGAGTTGTCACACCATGACCAAGAACTAGATGCTGTAGAGAAGAGAAGAGGGTAAGAAAGTCTTAGACTAGCTCTGGTGCAGTTCTCTAAGATATTTTCAGCAGGGCAAATGGAGAACCTTTGAGGCCTGTCTTGCAGAAACATACCGGCCTTAAAATCCTTACCATGCTTAATCATTGGTTTGAGAGCAACTTATTGGGAAGAATGTCTTCATACAAATGTAGTAGAATTCACAATACAGCACAGCTGGGCTATCGGTCAATTATGCCCCTGTGGTGGGAAATCTAAGAAGCACATTTTCATCGCTGCCATATAGTCCATGACTCAGGAACTGGAATACTACTGCAGTAGCATGCCACCACCTAACCTGGCATTCTCCCTAAAATAAAATGCTACACTAGTGCTGTTCCCCCTCAACTCCCAGGATTTCCTACTCCCACAGACCCGCTCCTAAACTCAAGGCCAATATTTCACTATTTTATGTTTACTCCCATGAGATTCCTAGATTATTCAAGACTTTTCCCAAATTTTAAAATTTCCTCAGTTTATACTGGATGTAAAAATACACTGAATTTAAT